GACTCGAGGATCATGACCTGAGCCGAAGGCAGTCACTTAACCAACTGAGCCACCCAGGCGCCCTGCCCTTAGATTTTTTTTAAACAACCTTTTATATGGTTAAAGAGATTATCCTATCTTGCAATAAACATGTGTCATTCTGAATGCCAATGTGTTGACTTAATAAGATGCTCTTTTCAGAATTTTTTCTTCATATTATTCATGTAATTTTATGTATTATTAAAAACATGAGTCATGTGTTCTCATTTAACATCACTCAACTCCTAAAGTATAAATTAGTTACAAGGTAGTTACATAGATGTCATAATTGAAAATCATGAATTAAAAATTTTAAATATACCATAAATTTTTTCCACATTCTTACTTTGCTTGATAAATACCATAAATATTAGTTAATTTCATTTTCTTTTTAAATGTTTTTGAGTATGACTTGGCACTATAAAGTATTCCATAATTCACTTCTCCCAGACTTAGTTAATGAAATAATAAAAACCATATATATTTAACATTTATTGTGTTTAGTCATGTTGGATTTAAAGCAAAATATTTTTACTTGTGGCAATGACACTACTACAGATGATTTACTAATTTAAAATAAAGTGGGAAGTAATCATCAAGAATTTACTTAAATGAGTCTTGTCTCACATTTGAATTCGAAGCCAAATATATAAGTCTACCTTTTACTCAGATTTACACCAGGATGTACTTAGTGCTCTACTAATTCAGTTAGATAATATAACAGGTATACTATATGCTGTAAACTTGATTTCAGCAAGAATTTGACTTTATGTCTTACAGTAGCTTTGTGGATAAGATGAAGAAATGTGCTCTATATGGCTTATTGCTGCTGAATAACTATTCCCAAGGAAATTAGGTGTCATCCTAAAGGGAAATCTTGGACATTGACTCTAATAATAAGGTTAGTAATATTTCTTATTTGGGCTGGTACAAGGCTAGATGAGGTGATTAATAGACAAATTATAGAAGCAGAATTTAAATTTATATTGACTCTTGGATTGCTAGGCAAAACCCAAGAAGGTGAAATTTAATAGGGACAAGTGTCAAATCTAGCACTTAAGTTAAAAATAGAAAACAGGTGCATAAAAGTAGAACAGTTGATAGTAGTTCCTGAGATGCTGAAGTTTTAACTGACCACAAGCTTAGGAAGTATATGTTTTGAATGCTTTAAATGTAAAAATTGTTGTTGGAATGGAAACAGATGTGTATTAATTGGTAGTTTTAGAGGTAGCATAGTTCCTGCTGTACTTTGGATTAAGCTAAAGTTAGAATATTGAGTTCATTTCTTGGTGCTACAATTTGTTAAACTTAGCCAATTACATTTCATTCAGGGAATGACCAATAAGGGGAGCCCCAAAAGAATGCCATATGAGATAGGGTAAAGGAAACATTTTTTATAGTATTAATTAGAACATGTATTTTAAGTGTGATAGCTGTTTTTAAATAGCTAAAGTACCATCATCTAGAAAAAGGAGGCACCATATTCAGTGATGTTTTGAAGGATACAATGTGACCATTGGGTGAATATTTTAGGGAGGCAAATTATAGTCCAGAATAATGAGGATCTTTCTATCAAGGAGCTTGTTTTAAGAATGGTACAGCTGGGGGCGCCTGGGTGGGTCAGTTGTTAAGCGTCTGCCTTCAGCTCAGGTCATAATCCCAGGGTTCTGGGATCGAGCCCTGCATCAGGCTCCCTGCTCCGCGGGAAGCCTGCTTCTCCCTCTTGCACCCCCCTGCTTGTGTTACCTCTCTCGCTGTCTCTCTCTGTCAAACAAATAAATAAAATCTTTAAAAAAAAATGGTACAACTGGGGCGCCTGGGTGGCTCAGTTGGTTTAGTGTCTGCCTTCAGCTCAGGTCATGATCCCAGGGTCCTGGGATCGAGTCCCACATTGGCCTTCTGCTCAGTGAGGAGTCTGCTTCTCCCTCTCGCTCTCCCTCTGTGCTCTCCCTCTCCCTCTGTGCTCTCCCTCTCCCTCTGTCTTTCAAATAAATAAATCTTAAAAAAAAAAAAAAAAAAAAATGGCACAACTCGTACTCCAAATCAGTTAGATTTCTGTCATTGACATATTAGGTTCTAGATGGTTATCAAGATTCTTATTACAAAATTTCAATTTTTAAAAAAATATTTGAGAAAAAGTGTGTGCATGTGAGCATGACTGGGGTGGAGGGCAGAGGGAGAAGGATAAGCAGACTCTCTGCTGAGCAGGGAGCCTGATGTGGGGCTTGATCCCCGGGCCTGGAGATCATGACCTGAGCCGAAGGCAGATGCTTAACCAACTGAGCCACCCTGGTGCCCCACAAAATTCCAATTTTGAATGGAAAGTTGGCATAAATAATTTATAAAATGTTTTTTAACTTTAATATTCTATAATTGCCAAAATAGTTTTTCTAATGTGATTAATTTCCACACCTGCTATGACTTCAAACTTGTATTAAATCAACCTTATAGTCAAGAATAATTAAAAAAATTTATAAAACCTGTAGAAAATATAAAAATCTATTTGAAGTCAGCCAGTACTTCGGTGGTCAGTATCTTCCAGTGAGAAGAAAAATGCATTGGAGTAAGTCTGTTATTTTGTTTGGCTTTTCTGTTTGAGCCATTTGCTAATTTGTCATTATGGTATAAGTAAGAAGCCAAACAACAATGGCTGAAAGGCAGAAAAGATAAGCAGAATTTGAGTCTTGGGGAGAAAGCTGTTGGAGTTTACAACTTACTAAGGATGAGAGCTACTGGTAAACAGTGGGTTTCTGGTTGCAACCCTCTGAGGACCGAAATCCTTTTTAGAATCAGCTTAATTGCACACTTATTAAGATAATCTGCCTCCTGTCTTTATTCTTTGGAGGAAAATCAAATCAGCTGGAGCTTCTACAGTTTTTTCATGTACAATGTTGAACATTCCAGGAGACAAGGCCAAGATAATAGAAACAGACTCATGGGTGATTCACATGTTAAAGTTACCAGACATGCACTTTAGCTGTGATTAGTATGTTAAAGATGGAGAGTTTTATCAGAGATCTGGAATCTCTAAAGAAAATAAAGGGAATTCTGTGACTGGAACATATAATAATTGAGTTAGGACTCCATGGATACTTTAACAGCAGATTAGATTCTGTTGAAGAAAGAATTGGTGAACTAGAAGATAGGTCATAAGAAATATCCTGACTGAAGCATAGGGAGACAAAATGATAGAATGTGTAAGAGACCTATAGAAAAACAGTGAAAAGTCTAACATGTATTATTGGAACCTGTAGGTAAAAAGATCCTTGTAGGCTTAGGACTTTTTTTTTTCCTGTGGAAAGATGACATCAGGTTTACCTTCTTTTTTTTTTTTTTTTTTAAAGATTTTATTTATTTATTCATGAGAGACAGAGAGAGAGAGGCAGAGGGAGAAGCAGGCTCCCAAGGAGCAGGGAGCCCGATGCGGGACTCGATCCCAGGACCCTGGGATCATGACCTGAGCCGAAGGCAGATGCTTAACCATCTGAGCCACCCAGGTGCCCAGGTTTACCTTCTTTTGATATAGTTTCTCTTATGATATACCAAGATAAATGTGATTTCTCAGTTCTGTTACCGTAATACAAGTATTTATTTTGAAAACGACCTGTGATTATTGAATTACATCTGGACTGAGAGGTCTCTGAAGGGGCATGTAATTCTCCAAGGAACTATATTACTACTTCATTGTTCCACCAGCATAAAACTTGTACAGAAAAAGATATTCCAGCTTCCCTTTATGATGTCTCTTCTAACTCAATGCACCCCCTGTGGGAGGCTTAGAAGCTGCATGAATGGGCAGTTATTTGATGTGGTTACTATTTGAGACATACAAATGCTGGAATAGATTGTATCCATTCATGTGAGTGTCATCCCCCACAACCTACTCTGTGTGTGTGATGTGGGGTTAGGGAAGCAGGGATTAGATGTTTTAAGAACTGAAAAAGATGTATTTGATTCGGCCATACTGATAAGCTGTGTTTCTAGTCCTAAATCTTTCTAAAAAAACTAAGTAAAACTGGTGTTAGATCACTACCTATTGTGTCCTGTGAACATGAATGTTATTTTGAACCCAAGACTACTGATGATTATATAGAGTGGACATTATGCAGTTCCAGAGGGAGGAGAGAGGGAATGGGGCAGAAGCAGTATTTGAAGACATAAGAGCAGAAAGTTTTCCAAAACTGATAAGCATGTCAAGCCACAGAGTCAGAGCTCTATGAACCCCAAGCTGAATAAATACAGGAAAATAATTCCTAGGTTCATCATTTGAAAACTGCTCAAAACTGGTTCCCTTTGCTTGAGGCTTTCCTATACTGGAGTGGACTGCATCTGTCTATGCAGAAATGAGAGAAGATGTTAAGAGAAAATCTTAAAAGTAGCCAGGAGATACCATCTTCAAAGGAACAATAAACCAATTTTCTCAACAAAGCAAGGAGACAGTAGAATGATATCTTCAGAGAGGTGAAAGAAATGAACCACCAGCCTATAATTTTGTACCCAACAAAAATATCCTTCAAAAATAAAGGCAAAATATATTTCAGATAAGCATAATTTGAGAGAATTTGTCACCCACAGACCCACAGTAAAGGGAGCATCAAAGGGGATTCTTTCAGGCAGAAAGAAAACGATGCTTCCCCAGATGGAAGCAGGAGGAAATGAAGAGCATTACAAAGGGCAAACATGTGGGTAACTATATAGATACTGACTATACAAAATAATGTCTTGTGAGATATAAAATATATATAGGAATAAAATACAACAACAGAAAAAGTGGGAGAGGAAACATAGAGCTAGTGTTCTGAAGTCATTGATTGTCTAGGAAATGGTAAAGATACTAATTTATACTAGATTTCTGGTAAGCCGGAGATGCTTGTTGTAATCTCTAGGGTAACCACTGAAATGAAAACCTAAAGGCCCTAGAGATAAAAAGTAGTTTGGTTCTCATTTTGTTTTGGAATGCTGTCATTTACTTTTTTTTTCCAGAAGGTTCTAATGTATTTTTATTTAGAATTGTGTAGAGTTTGTCATCTTTCTATCATACGTATAATATACAGTAATATTCAAATATCTGATACTAACATACTGACCAATTCTAATACTGAACACAGACTGTTCTGTATTAACAATAAAAACAAAACCAGTGAGTTTATCTTAGAAAATTTAAATTCAGGTCATTATTTCACAATCTGGAAATCTGAGTAATCCAATTTTACGATGACTTTCTCATTCCTGAAGTTTGCTCTGTCCATGTGTGATTTGGGACTTCCTCTTGTCTCAAGCCATTCCTGCATATGACGCACTTTGGAGATGGGACCTTGCAATTGTCCTTGCACTGTGCCCTGGTCAGTGTTCTGGACCCAGCCAACCAATCCCAGCTTTTTATCCTCAGCCTGAGTGTACTTGCGGAAAAATACCCTTTGGATCTTCCCAAAAATTTCATAATCCACTGATATCAGGGTGTCCCCTTCTGCCATATTCGTGCCCACACCCTCCTCGTCCTCCTCTCGGGCGCCTGTGACTACACTGGTGACCAGCATGCCCTCATTTACTTTGCTTTTTAAGTAAGCTCTACTGAAAAATACTTTAATGTTTTTACAGTGTAAAGCCAGTATAAACATGAGTTTTAAAAATGAAGCTGAATACAACATATTACGTAATCAGTTCTCAAACAGGTTAGCTGAAGAACAGGTCTTTGCCAAAAATTCACATCTTTAGGCTTTCCTGATCTATTTAAAATAGCACGTTTTCCCACCTCCACCCTGTCACTCATACTGTATTTTCATCGTTCACCATTATATGTTGTTTATATTCTCCACCTGAATGTAAGTTCCATTTATACCTGTTTTTTCAGCATTTGGAGGAATCCCTAGTACACATTAGGTACTCAGAAAATATTTGTCAAGTGAATGAATGAACAAATGGATGCTCAGACCAACAGGGTAAAAACAACTAGGAGAAAAAGATCTTCAAGGATATGGGTTTGTTCTCTCAATAAAAATAGAGTGTTGGGGCACCTGGGTGGTTCAGTCGTTAAGCGTCTGCCTTCGGCTCAGGTCCTGATCCCAGGGTCTTGGGATCGAGCCCCACATTGGGCTCCCTGCTCGGCAGGGGGCCTGCTTGTGTTCCCTCTCTCGCTGTGTCTCTGTCAAATAAATAAATAAAATCTTTAAAAAAAATAAAGATTTAAAAAATAGAGTGCATGTTACATACTGTATTATGGGACAGTTTCAGTCCGTGTTTTATTTTCTTGACATTTGGCAGCTCTTGATGAATACCTTTAGTCTGTCTGATCCACAGCAAAGGCTACAGCCCCACTCCAGCCTGCATTTTGACTGAACACAGCAATTTTTCTTACTTGATTCTTCTCATCCTTTGTCCCTCCTTCCTTAGCCTATCGCTGTTAGGTTTCATCCCTTTAGTGCCCTAATTTCTCAACTCAAGTGCTGGAGATAAAAGGATTAACATAACATAACATGTTATGTTATAATCAAGAGAGGCTGGTTGTTGGGAAGGTGGGAGGTAAAATAGTGTGAATTTTGAGCTTGGGCACTGCAGGCAGGTATAGCATCTTGCCACTCACTGTTGTCTAATTCCTAATTTCTTCATCTGTAAACCGGGTGTAATAATATTTACTTTATAGAGTTCTGGGAATTAAATAAGACATATAAAGCACTTAGTAGTACTTGTTTAATCAGTGGTAGATAAAAAGGAATGAAGTCTTCTTGCTTCCTATTCAGAACTATCCTTTAGAGAACTTTAAAGGGCTTTCAGGGAAAGGAAATTTGGAGAAAAGCAATGAGTCTGTTTTGTTTCACCATGGGTGAAGAAGAAAGGAGCCTTGTGTTATTTTGGCAGAAGTCTGGAGATGGTAGAGGTCAGAACATCTGTCCTCAGAAGTCTCTCCTGACTCCAGAGGGAAAACTCTTGGTACAGTTGAGTAGGGGTGGCTGTTGCCTGCCGGGGCCCTGCTTGCTGACACATGTGGTGCTTCTTGGACCTGTCATAGCCTAAGTATGGCTACAGTGTCATCCATACATTCTTCCTTAACTTTTTTATCAAGCTCTACTACACGTACAAGAGGTACATACATTCTAAGTGATTTTTTTTTTTTTTTTTTTTACCTAAATCCTCAATTGGATATTCACAAACTAAACACAACCACTAAAGCCCCACTGAGCAAGGAGGCCGATTCAGGACTTGATTCCAGGACCCTGGGATCATGGCCTGAGCCGAGGGCAGCCGCTTAGCAGACTGAGCCACCCCATACATTCTTCCTTAACTTTTTTATCAAGCTCTACTACACGTACAAGAGGTACATACATTCTAAGTGATTTTTTTTTTTTTTTTTTACCTAAATCCTCAATTGGATATTCACAAACTAAACACAACCACTAAAGACACAAAATTACCAGCATCCCACAGACCACCAATTTGGGCCCCATTTTAGTTACTGTTTCCATCCTCCACCCCCACCAAGGGTAACTACTATGGATACAGTGTCATCCATACATTCTTCCTTAACTTTTTTATTAAGCTCTATTACCCGTACAAAGAGGTACATACATTCTAAGTGATTTTTGTTTTTTTACCTAAATCCTCAATGGATATTCACAAACTAAACAAACACATACAACCACTAAAGACACAAAATGACCAGCATCCCACAAACCACCAATTTGGGCCCCATTTTAGTTACTGTTTCTATCCTCCACCCCCACCAAGGGTAACTACTATCCGATTAGTTTCACCTATTTTTAAACTTTGTAGAAACAGTTTTTGTTTTGTTTTGTTTTAACATTTTGTTTATTTGACAGAAAGAGAGAAAGTACAAGCAGGGGGAGCAGCAGAGGGAGAGGGAGAAGCAGGCTCCTCCCTGAGCAGAGAGCCCAGTTTGGGGCTTGATCCTAGGACCTTGGGATCATGACCTAAGCCGAAGGCAGACGCTTAAAGGACTGAGCCACCCAGGTGCCCCTGTAGGAACAGTTCTGTTTGTGCCTGGCTTCTTTCACTTGAGCTTATGTCTGTTGCAAGTTGCAGCATATAATTGTAATTTGTTAGTTCTCATTGCTGTGTATTATTACATTAAGACTATACCATTATCCATTCTTCTTTTTTTTTTTTTCTTTTTTAAGAAGGCTCCACACCTAGTGTGGAGCCCACTGCAGAGCTTGAACTCATGACGCTGAGATCACGACCTGAGCTGAGATCAAGAGTCATATACTTAACCCACTGAGCCACCAAGGCACCCCTTTTTATCTATTCTGATATTGACGGTCCTGTGGGTAGTTCTTACATTTTGGTTACTATGAATAATGCTCCTTTACACATTCTCATACATGTCTTTTTTTCTATTCGTGATATATTACTGTATAGATAACATATTCAGAATCATATAAATATTTTAGAAATATGTTTTTTTCCTACTTTTCAGATTTTTGTCATTAATAGGGCTACTTTTTTCTTTCTTTTAAAGATTTTATTTGTTAGAGCACAAGCAGGGGGAGTGGCAGGCAGAGGGAGAAGCAGCCTCCCCACTGAGCAAGGAGGCCGATTCAGGACTTGATTCCAGGACCCTGGGATCATGGCCTGAGCCGAGGGCAGCCGCTTAGCAGACTGAGCCACCCAGGTGTCCCACTAGGGCTACTTTGTGAATCATCAACTATAGTTTTCTAGAGTACCTATGCATTTTTATTTAAGTTATTTTGAATCTGTGAACAATACTGTAACAGGTACCCACTAACATAACATTAGAGCTTTGGGTTTTTTCATTTGTCTTGTAGAATTACACTTAGGAACTTCACAATGTTGTAAACACAAAATATACTGCTTTTTAAAAAATCTTTGATCTTATAAGGCTTATTTAAGATGATATTCTACATTTGTAAGTATGAAATCACTGTTCAGGAATAATTGTCATATTATATCCTTGATAAATATCCTTTTTGTTGTTTACTAATTTGGTCAAGTGTTTTTTCTCAGCTAATGATTGGTACATGTTTAGGCAAATGTGTAAATGTACTTTTGTACATAGTCATTCAAAATAATTTAGAAATAACCTTTCTAAATATGAAAGTTTTATGAGACCTTGAATTTGAGAAGAAACTCTTTTTTCTGGAGTATAACTTTTGGTTTAAAAAAATCAAGTTTTATTAAAAAATATCAAGTTTTATTTGGAACATATGGTATGTCTTTGAGAAAAGGATTTTGTTGTATTTTTTTTTTTTTTTTTTTTAGTCCAAGTGCTGTTTCCAGTCATTTTGCCAGTGGCAACAGAACTCTTTAAAAAACAGAACAATTGAAAAATGAGAAAGGAGCAAACTCTGCCCCCTGAGAATAGCTTTGGAGATAGCAAGATATTGAATCACAATTCTAACATTAATTTCTTATATGAATTCGGGTAAGTTTCTTAAGTTCTGTGATCTCAGGTTTCCCCACAGAAGTCCTTATGGCCTTTAAATAAGAAAATGTATATAAAGTGGGGCGCCTGGGTGGCTCAGTCGGTTAAGCGTCTGCCTTCTGCTCAGGTCATGATCTCTGGGTCCTGGGATCGAGCCCCACATCAGGCTCCCTGTTCAGTGGGGAGCCTGCTTCTCCCTCTTCCTCTGCCTCTCTCCCTGCTCATGCTCGTGCTCTCTCTGTATCTCTGTGTCTCAAATGAATAAATAAAATCTTTAAAAAAATGTATGTAAAGTACTTAATACACATGTAGGCACACACGTACATACAAAGTGCCCAGTATGCTGTAAGCCCTCATTATTATCATATGCCTTTGAGAAATACCTTTCTTCCTATTGATATCATAGCCACCTTTCTCCAAATTGCTTTACTTCCTGAGCCCCAAACTTGTCTGCTTCTTTCACCCTGCTTTTGGAGATCCACTCTGGTTCCTTTTCTCAGCACGCTGTACTTTTCCTTACGTTTCTTAGATCTTTGCTGCTGAAAGCCTAAGTCCATGGACAAGCAGAATAGAGAGCTTTCTATAAAGATCTCAAAGGTCTTGAGAACCCTATACATTTCTGCTGGTTATATACTTAGGAGTGGATCACTGAGTCAGAGTATACATGTTCAGTTTTAGTAGTTACTGCGTGTTCTGCACCAATTTACACTTTTCCCAGGTGTTTGCAGTAATTTATATTCCCACCATCAATAGAAAAGTTCCATTTACTCTGTATTTTCACCAGGGCTTGGTATTATCTGTTTTTTTAATTGTTGCTGGGTGGGCATGGTGTGATATTGTATGATATTGTGGTTTTAATTTACATTTCCTTGGTGACTAAAAATACTGAGCGCCTTTTCATGTGTTTATTGACTAGCTACAACTCCTCTTTTCCAAATTTATTTTCCTGGAAGACATTTGATTTCTTTTGAAATGCCTAGACTTTAAGTAAATTGCAGTCCTGGTGCTGATGGTTATTTCTTCTATCAATACTTTTTCCACATTTAGGAACTCCTGGAATGTCATACCACAAGGGATTCCTTGGGACTTAAAATGTATAGATAATACTTTTTCTCTGACAGATATTTGTTGTTTTTT